GCAGTCAGTAATGCTGGCTCAAGTTTCTCATTGGGATCAAACTCAGCGCCTGGGATTGCATTCCAGGGACGGGCTTCATTTGGTCTAGAACCTTTTTCAAGCAGCCAGCTTTCTGTTGGCTCAATGACCAACCCGTTTTCACCAACAAGATCGTTTTTCAATCATGGCTCGACCATGGGAAGTTTTGTTTAACTTTTACTTGATTTCAAGTTCAAAGTATTGACTAACGTAAAGTTACGAAGGTGTAGTGGTCTTTTCAATGTATGCCACTTTCTGGTAGCTAAATCGGATGTCGTATTTCTACGAATCTAACGTAATAAAACGATTACGTTCTCAGTTTACAGAGAGCTAAGGTTTAGTACTTGTTCAATAGCGTTTGCGAAAAAAATGGAAACAAATCTGTGTGTCAGGGAGTTCGGTAGGGAGATACCAGCCTTACTCTGAAAAAACAGTCTTCGTTCCTGAATATGGCTCGAACGTCTGCTAGTCAAAAAAAGTTACAAATAAAACCCTGATATGTAACTTACTCTGGCACAAATTGTGTTCGTGGGTCTTCAAGGCAAATCTATACAACCGGTAACGTTCCTCAAAGGGACAGTCAGCTTTGGGACCGCGCCGACCTGGACACTAGTTTTCTTACTTTAAAAAAAGTTCACCACAACCTGAAATCAAAGTGCATCTAGAAATCCGCTTCAATCTTCCCAGTGTTTTGCTTGATTTTCAATCGGCTACTGAAAGACCTGTTTTTGAATATGCTTTTCCTCATCCTATGATATTATTTTTATCATATTTGGTTAAAAACAGTATGGATCGCGTCTCTGTGATAGGCAAATTGGCTATGAAATGGTATCTAATGCGCATGGTCGCTAGCTGACTGTGTCCCTTTAAAGTAAGGGTAAAGACTGCATACAAGCCAAGTGGTCAATCAGCCAAGTGCCTATTTCCGGTTTCTGTAGAATGAAGTGAGGGTTACCCACAACCTTAAATTCGCCGATACCCATTTATTCACCTTGGGTGGAGAGAGGCACTGTGAGAGTGAAGTGTCTTGCCCAAGAACACAACACAATGGCTACGCGGTTAGAAAAATTGGAAAGTTTTGAACTTCCCAGGTTTTTTTTTTTATTGTTGTTGTTGTTGTTCATTCTTTTAAAGTCTGTCGATCATTGGAAAAGGAAGTTATCTATCGAATAATTAGGGGGCACTAAACTATTTAAGAGAACAAACTGCAGGCAAAGTTGGCGTAGCTGGTACCAGCCCTATGCTCGTGTACTTCTTATTTCAAGTGTAATTTGTCCAATCTACACTCCTCATCTTTCACAGCCCTCCCTTTCCAATGTTCTAACCATGTGACAGCACCAATAAAGCCTGTTTCAACATTGATTGAGCGTGTGAATGGGGTTGCCTATTGACGTAAAAAAGTTGTTTTTTTCCTATCAAAGGAGGTATGGATCTCTGTTCGAAAACATTTCCAATTGTAAAAATGTCTCAACACTTTTGTCCCTGATTGGGGATGTCGAGTTAATTACCTATTTGGAAACACCTTGTTTTCGTTGCCATGGTAACACGAACATCAACCAATCCAACCCACTGTTTCGAAGAGTCCATACAATCTCTAGCACTTGCCCGACCGAACAGTCGGTGAAGTATCGACGATCCACCTAAAAGCTCTTAGTCTTACCTAATCTGTATTCTTTAAGATATTTGCTTCTCGTGTAGAGGAAAACCTCCATTGCTTGACTTGTGCTCTGTCTTAGTGCACTTTCAATGAAATAAAGAGCTTTAAAAGTAATTTAAATACAACGACATTCTCGGACCTGATTGGTTCTTAGTATATCCTATCTTTTTAATGCCCCCGCAGGGTTTTGACCCAGAGGCCAAAACCCGAGGAGGCACCCTAGGATTCCCCGCGGAGGAAGTTCAAAAAAGTAAGAAATGTGTTGGTATAGTAGTACACGAAGCGTCCTCGATTTGACGAAACTAGGCGCGCACGGTGGTCTTGGGTAATGTGGGGCAAGGAACGCGGGCTCACAAAACGGCTGGAAATCGAGCCTAGGTGGGGTGTTGGTCGGTGTTGGATACATGNAAACGGCTGGAAATTGAGCCTAGGTGGTGTTGGGTACATGTAATTCTTGATTTCAAGGTTCTTGCAACCACGAGTTCGCGTTTCGCCATATTCGAGCTGCATTTCAAGGTCTATTAACCACGAGTTCGCATTTCGCCATCTTCGAGCAGCATTTTCAAGGTCAAATATACATTCCAATTACAATATGGCCTGCATGACGATTTTAGCGTGATCAAATAAATTCGCTTCGAAATGGCCGAGATTCTCGTCTAGGACAAATTGAAAGCGATCAACGATCCTGAAGATCGATTTTGGTAGAAAAACAACTCAGAAGGTATCGTAAGAAATTCTGAAGTATACCAGAAATTCGAGGCCAGTGTGGTTCAATTGCAACTAAATAGCTAAATACCCTTCTGATCGCAAGTTTTACCTTTGGCATCTCGTTTATTGGATCGCTTATTTGTAATGAGTAATCCTACGTGGCGTAAAGCTCATGTGTGGGCTGGGTGACTTTGCAGGGATCCAAATGCAAATGTAAATGTTTTGTAGCGTTTTCGTTGAGGTCGAAAAGCTTGACTCTAATTTGCATATATAGCGATACTTCTGTTTACGTCTCGGAAAAAAAAAACTCGATTTCCGTTCTGCTTTCGAGATACGTTTGCTCGTATATTAAGACAAATGACTTGTTTCAGCATCAAATTGGAACAGCAGAGTAGTTTGACTTAATTTTTTGTTTCGCTATGATTTTTTAACCTTTTTTCCGCTATAAAGTTCTATGTAAATAGTACTTTTTGCGTCCTTTCTAACGAGATATGGTAAACTGCTCTGCAGTAAATGCTTCGTGAGAGTATTACGCAAAGAATATCATGTGATAGAATGAGTTCAACAGAATGTGTTGGTTTAGTTAACTTAGTTGATTGTTTGGATCATATTCATGGTAAGATGTCTAAGTCACTGGAACAGTATGAGTGATATAGTTTACAAAAAAAAAATATTTAGTCATACAAAAATGTTCAATATTATTGTTTTCAATCACCAGAAATAAAAGAAAGCGGGGGCAGGTTTAGTGATAACTATTACCAGTTTTCCAAATTGGAACTTGAGCTCAGGAATACAATGAAAAGATCTCTAATATCAAAGTTTCTAAATACATTGTTTAATTAAAAACATCGTTCACAAGGCACGCTTTATTTGTTTGCCTCTTATGGATGATAATTGTCTTGATATTGTTAGAATCTTTCAGGAACAGCATTTTCCCAACGCGTTATAGTATTCGTTTTTATGAATTCTTGTAAATAATCAGAGTTCCTTTGTTTAAATAAATATATATTTTAGGGTGTCTACATTTTCATCACTGCTCGTGCTATTAATGAATGAAGTTACAACTCTGAGTATATTTTGAGAAAATCTTTCATTACATTCTTGGCTTCGATCCCTATCGTGGAAAAAGCGCGTAAAGAGAAGCGGGCCGAGTCTAGGGCGAGTGGCCTAGGGCGAAAAAGCTTGGACACCTTCGGCTCGCTTCGCTCGCCCAATGTTTTTCTGGGTCGCAGATAATTTTCGAGAGCCGGTTCACAGACCAGTGCAAAAAAAAGATAATTTACATTTTGATAACTGGAAACCTTGGGAAAGTTTGACAGAACTTGAAAACGTTGTGGGAAAAACATTCCGCGGCTCATTTTGAATCGAGCAGGACGGAAGTAAAGCGCGAGCGAAGGAAAGTGATCGAGTGAAAGTCAATGTTCTACCTTAGAAAACGACATTTTCCGAGTGAAAAAAAGATAATAGAAAAATATCAGGAGGGTGCACAAAGTTTCTCAGCGACAGGGGTAATATATTGCGCAAACTGGAGACCTTGCAGGGCCTTTATATTCAAACGTGAGGAGAGAAAGGAGTGCTCGCAGATCTCATCCCTCGCACATGCATGCTCTTCCAGCACGCGCTCTTTATTATTTCTGGAGTAGCCTCTTCCAGGCGTTCGGTTAGTTGGGGTGCAGCGCTAAAACCGGCGAGCGAAAAAATGGGGGGAAGAGCGGCGAGAGAAAGCGTAAGAACGTCTGTGAGCAAACTTAAGGTCCTTCCTCTCACTTATAGACCGCCTACAGGTGCCCGTAACGTGACCGCCGGGTGGAGTTTTCAGTTGTCACGACGAGATTCATAAGGTTCTGAAATATGTGCCCCCTACTGACTTTGGGCTAATGAATAGCGAAAAGTCAGGAGGGGGTCTAGTTTTAATCCAAGCCAACTTATAGCCGCAGAGTAAAAATAAGTTGATGCTTCTTGACAAGAAACGTGTTAGAGACTACTTCTACCTGTAAACGGAATCACTCCGAAAACAAAATCAAGGTAATTAAAAGCCTCACAGTTTTCTGGAAACATTTATAGCGCGAATCCACTGCACTCAGACTTATATATGAAGAACAAAGCGGGAAAACACTGCTACGGTTCAGTCCCACTTCAAATCACGAGTTTTTTGCATCCAATTGTTATTTGGTTAAAACCGAAAATCGAAATAGTTACCTTTCTTTCAAAATTATGCGTGGGCTCCCCCCTGGGGGAGGTGTTACTTCCAGAAAAGTTGGGTGAGGGTGTGCAGCCCACTTCCCAAAATCCTTACCCT